AGATGACACCAGGGTGATATAAATCAGACTATTGCTAGCGCCTAGAAGACTGCCATCACAGCTAGATGGGCAGATTTACAAGTCCATGGAGACTATACAGAGGAAGATGCCAGAGAAGCTAAGAGAGCCTAAAGCATAATCTAGGAGGGCCTGAAGGGAGACTAGAGAAAAGAAATTTCTGCCTCCTGCTAGCCATACACAGTACGATCCCACATGGCTCCCAGAGTTTCCTGGCCAGAGAAGCCACAAGCTCACAGCTAGCTGCCAGCAGACTTTTTCTCCTCACATTTCCACTCCTCCCCTCCCCCTTGGGGACGAGTTTGCAGAGTATAATAATCATGTTAAATATTCTTCTTAAGACAAGCCAGGGGGTGGCTCCATAGTGTAGTGGTTAGCACATCTGCTTTACACGCAGAAGGTCCTGGGTTCGTGCCCCAGGTGGAGCCATGGACCATACCCCGAAGGGTCAGACCATACCCCGGGGGCGTGCCAGGACCCAGGTGCACACCGTGAGCGTGTGGGAGGAGACGCCTCGCCTTCAGAGATCCAGTTCTTAAGGGAAAACAGCAACATCCATAGGTCAGGGGTGGTAGGGGGCGGAATTAAAAGGCGGGGGCAGGGGGAAGACAGGCCGACATTAAGTGACAAAATGAGTCTCTTATTCCCCTCATATGTATAACCATGAACAATTTACACAAATAGTCAAGGAATACACACTTTAATACTATGTGTATTTCTTATACCTAACAACGAAATGGTCTCTATTATATCTGGAGGAAAGCAATCTGCTATGATGAAAATGGAATATATAAATCTGCCATGTGATAGGCTGAATAACGGCCCCCCCACAAAGATGTCCATGTCCTATTCCCTGACTGTGTGCCCTTATATTCGAAAATAACTTTACAGATGTGACTAAGAAAGAATCTTGAGATGTGGAGATTATCTTGAATTATCTTGGTGGACTTCATGTAATCACAAGAGTCCTTGTAAGAGGCAGACGAAAATTCAGAGAGAAGGCGACATGACCACAAAGGAAAGGAGAGGGAAAAAGGCAGTAGAGAGCTATAAGCGAGGAGTGAGGTTAGCCTGAAAAGATGGCAAAGGCAAGGAGGTGGATTCTTCTTCTATACGGCCTCCAGAAGGAATGAGCCCTGTTGACACCCTGACTTTAGCCCAGATTGATTTTGAATTTATGACCCCCAGAACTGTAAAATAATAAAGACGTGTTGTTTCAAGCTGCTAACTTTGTAGTAATTCGTTATATTCAGCAACAGGAAACTATACATATAATTAATAGGTACTAATTGTAAGTGAATAATTAGGAAATAGCTCTCTGTGATCTACAAATTACAAAGTATTTTACGGACATATACTTTTTCAGCAACTAAATCTTAACTGCCCCATCAGAAATTTTTAAGTTTATTACACAAAGGCAATGTTATAAATTATATAATACTGCAAGTATGCAGACACCGATTTTCAACTCTGAAGGCAGGTAAGATTTTTAAAAACGACACTTAATGCAAAAGAACCATAGTCTATTCCTGAAAATTTGTGTGTCTCCTAAGAGAAGACAGTTTTAAGTAAACTTAAATTGCACTTGAGCCACTAACTTGTGGTGGCAATTATGCTATTCATCTGTGCTTACTGACCACAGTGTAGAGCACACTGCTCTGTACAATGGTGGCTGCTGTTCCAGCAACGTTTACCAATTAAATAAATGACTGAATACATAAAATGTGAATGAGAAAAACTTAGATCCTTAGCCACATTTTACTTTTGATTATGTAGTAGCTGGAGCTTTATTCCAAATTAACCTGGTACTAGATTAAAAATAAACAAATTTATTTTTTAAAAAATAGGATTTTTAAGGCCATTAAAAATGAAACTGAAAATTAAATTAATGATAAGAGGTTCCAGTTTTGAAGCAAGTTGACAGAGAAAAACAAATACCATATGATTTTACTTACATGTGGAATCCAACAACAACAAAAAAAAAACAAAGCAAAATAGAAACAGACATATAGACATAGAGAATGAGCTGATTGTTGCTAAAGGGCAGAAGATTGGGGGGAATGAGAAATTAAAAAATAAAGCCATTAAAGATGAAACCAAAATATTAAATTATTGATAGGAGGCTCCACTTTTGGTTAGGATGCAAAAAGTTGGGAAAAAAAAATCAGTCCCACTATAATAACAAGAAAACAACAAATTAAAAAATCTTATCTGTCATAAAAGATATTGAAAGAGATCTGGACACAAGTCTAAATGAATGAAATTCTAGAGAGCGAGATGAGCTCTTCTAGGGTGAACAAATATTGGTGGCTGCTTTTACCATGGGGGCATGAGAAGTCAGAAGAGCTAGCCTGCTCTTGGTTAAGAAACTTTGCTGGAATAAGGAGAAATGAGTCAAATTTTTATTAGCCAACCATTGGCTGGTGTGGCAGATTGGAAAATAAAGAACGAGACAGTCCTTGCTGCCAGCCAATTCTCCTTTATATTTTTGCTAAGCAAGCACTTGTGTAGGAGCAACTAGCAACAGGGTGGAAAGAGAGAGGGATCTTGTAATCTCACATGCATAGATCTCAAGCTGCTGCAAGGCCAGATCTTACCATCGAAAGGAAATCAAATGTGAAATCCAGTTCACTCCAGATTAGAACAAAGAGGTCTGGCCTAGTCCCCTTTGTTGCCTAATGGGAGAAAGGGTAAGGCTCTGAGGATAAATATTATCTACTTCAGCTTCTGTGTTCTTTTAAACACAATTTAAAAAGTAAGACTAATGAAAAAATAAGAATAATGTGACCTATGAGAAGAGAAAAATAAAGAATAAAAGTAAATGACTGGAATTAACATACAAGGATTTAAAAAAAGGATTTAAAAATAACTATTACAAATATGCTAAAGAATTTAAGGGAAGATGTACAAAATGAGTAAAAGGATGGAGAATTTCATTAGAGTAATAAAAACTTTAAAAAAGAAGCAAGTAGAAATTGTAGAACTGACAAGTGCAATATCTAGAATGATTAATTCCTTGAAGGGGCTTAATGGTTAACTGGACACAAGAAAAAAGATTAGTAAACCCAGAGACAAGACAATAAAAACTATCCAAAATAAAGCACAGAGTGAAAAAAAAATCAGTAATAAAAAACAAACTCTAAGCATGAGTTCTATGGCATAATTCCAAATGGACTGACATATATGCAGTTGCAGTCTGAAAAGGAAAATAAATGAATGGAATAGAATTGCTGAAAGAGATATTAGATAAGAATATTTAAAGATGGTTGAAAGACATTAATCCTACACAGTGAAACCCCAAGCAGGATAACAGACAGAAAATCATACATAAAATCAAACTGCTGAAAACCAAAGTAAAAAGATAAAAGCAGTGAAATGACATGTTTGAAGAGCTGAAAGGAAAAAAAAAAAAAATCATAAACATTGGCAACCTAGACACCTACATCCATGGAAAATATTCCTAAGAAATAAAGGTGAGACAAAGGTTTTTCCAGACAAACTAAAGCTGAAAAAAATTCATGCTGCACTATAAGAAATATTAAAAAATCTTCAGACTTAAGAGAAATAATCACAGAAAAAAATGAAGATCAGCAGAAAGAAATGATCAATATGGGGTAAATACTAAGAGAAATATAAAACATATAGTTTTAAATTTCTTTAAAAGACAATTGGCTATATGAAGCAAATAGAACAATATATTATGGGATTATAATATATGAAGAAATAAAATATGAGAATAATACAAAAAACAGGAGAAATAAATAAAATCATACTACTGTAAGGTTAACTGTTTCATGAAGCTGTACAATAGTTACTCATAGTAAAGAGTGATGAATTAATTATGCATATTGTAATCTAGAATAATCACTTCAAAATAATATAAAATGGTCAAACTAAATAGCAATAAGGGTGAAAAAAGGGAATTAAAAAACAAAGAAACAACCCCCCTCCCAAACCTAAATATCCAAATAAAGAAATAAAGAATAGAAGGGGGAAAAAGGGAAAAATAAAAGATGATAGACTTAAGTCCAAGAATATCTCATATAATTATATTAAATGTAAGATGTATTCAACACTCCAATTAAATCTGGATTTAAAAAAAGATCCAACTCTATGCTGTTTTTAAAAGACATGCTTTTAATATAAAGACATAGTGACAGTAAGATGATGAAAATGATATGCATTACAAATGCTGATCATAAGAAAGTCAGAGTGTCTATTAGTATCAGAAAAACTAAACTTTAAAAGCGTCATCAGATATAAAGATCGGTATTTCATAATAACAAAATGGTCATTAACAAAGCCCCAAACTGGTCCTCTGCTTAGACTAATAAGTTGATAAATCTTTTCCCGTGTATAATTTCTGAAGATTTATGAACTCCTTTATGTTTATGGACCTACATATAAAACCTCTTTTCAAATTCACATTATTTTTAAATTCAAGAAATTCCAAGTACTCCCCTCAATTCCTGAAAACCATTTTTATTATGATTTACTTGATTCTTACAAGTCATCTTACCTGAAATTTCACCTTCTGGTTGATGTCAGACAAGCAGAACTGCTTCAGGAAGCGCTCGTCCTCACTCCAGAAGAGGCGGATGTCTGGGATGTCATAGAGGATCATGGCCAGTCTTTCTAATCCAAGGCCAAAGGCCCAACCAATCTTGTCTTGAGCACCAGCTACAATTAGGAAACAAAATAAAACAATTGATTTAAAAATCATAAAGACTTTACAACTACATACCACTTTCTGATGATGTATTCATCATTGGTTGAGTGCCTACTAGTGGCAAGGCACTGGGGAAGAGGCTGTGGAGACAACCAAAATGGTGCCTAATCTAATCTCCCCACATACCTTACTTCCCTCACTGAGGCACCCTGGAGTCATACTGTCTCAAATATTGGCTTTCATTTCTAATTAAATACCAGGCTCTTTTAAGCCCTGCTTCCTATCTCTGAGATATGATTTTTCTGTAATTCTTGTTTGCCTTGATTTAAACATTTAGCCTATTATGTTCAGGTTACAAAGTCCCTAAGTGGCTTACTAGATAGGCAGATATGTTCAAAATACGCCATAGTGGACCATTAACATTCAGAAAATGTGTGTCAGGCCTTCAAGAGCTGTCAATTACAACAAAATACAGCTCTTATTCTTAGAAGAGCCATCTCAACAATACAGAGAGAGCAAGTTAGCCAAGGTGAAATGCATATCTAGTACCACTCACTCCAAAGATAAAATGTGTTGTTCAGATTATGGCAAGGCCATGAGCTCTAATTGTTTATCTCATTTATACAGGCGGAGTAAGACAGAAAATATAAAGTACTGTATGAAGAAGGTGAAGGGATAATTCATAACTGCTGGAAAAGCTTATGAAAAGAGCTCTTTCAGGAACATAATTTCAATTGGATACTAAAGGATGAGTAGAGTCCTGGGTAGGCTATGATGGCCTTAAGATTCCTACCCCTGATATCCATGCCCTGTGTAAATCCCTCCCTTCGAGTGCAGATGGGACTTGTGAATAGAATAAGATTTCACTCCCGTGATTAGGTTACTTTGTGTAAGAGTCCATCTTAGCAAACTAAAGAGATTCTCCTGCTGACTAGGAGAAGCGAGCTGACATAAGAAAGAAGGCCACGTGGCTAGGACATGAGAGAGGCCTCAAGAAGCTAAGCGAGTTCCTGGAGGCCAGCAAGAAAATGGGAATCTTACTCCCACAAACATAAGGAAGTGAATTCTCCCCAAGCCTGAAAAATCTCAGAAGAGGACCTCGAACTCCAGATGAGAACATCAGCCCTGCTGACACTTCTGTTTCAACCCACTGAGATTCTGAGCAGAGGACCCAGTTGATCTGTACCTGGACTCCTGATGCAAAGAAATTGTGACATAATAAATTTGCGTTGTTTTAAGCTAAGTATAAGATTAATTTGTTAACCAGCAAAAGAAAACTATATGGATCCAAAATGTGGAGAACGGTAAAGTAAATTCCAGACTGAAGGAATCTCTTTGACAGTGAAGGCATGGAGGTGCAGCAGAGGAAGTTTAGGAGCTGGCCCTAGAAACGCAGGTGGTGCAAGGTTGGGGCAGGCAAGACACTGTGGAGAGGATCTGTTTCTGGTCCTGTGCTGCCACCTTATAAATTTATCATTTATAAATATGTCAACAAGGATATGAACACATTTATAAAAAATGAAAGAAAAATGATCCTCAAGTAAATGAAAAGCTTTCATAAGAAAAATGAAAGATAAAAATGCACTAAATTACCATCTTTTACTTACCAGATTGGCAAAACTAAAAACATTTGATGACATAACATTTGAGAGCAAAGCCAAGGAAAAATAAGCACTCTCATACGTTACTGGCAGGTTGATATGTGGGTTTTTAACCTACCGACTTAAAGAGTATAATATACAGGTAGCTATCAAAATTACAGATGCATATGCCATCTTGTTACTTTAATTACTAGAATGTATTCTACTTATGGGAAATTATGAATGTACAAGGTTATTTATTGGAGTGTTGTTTATAATAGCAAAAGACTGTAAACCACTCAAATGTCCATCAATAGGAAACTGATTAAATAATCGATGCTTCATCCATACAATATTATTATTATAAAAGTCTGTGACACTTCCAAAACGAAAAGCAGTAGCTATCTGTTTTCTTTTTTTAGGAGTGGGTGGGCGAGAACTGGGAAATGGAGGACAATGGGGAGACTTTATACTATATGCCTTTTTATATAAAGAGTGACGAGAATATTTCAGAGAATAGAAATGTTCATGGCTAGATAAAGTACAGTAATTTTTTTCTGTTTATTTTTAAGAGGTTATAAGAAGAACAAATTATTCCTCTTTTGTCACACAATTACCACACTTTCAGGAAAATCATATGATTTCAGTAAAAATAGATCTGTATATACCCCTTATAGCCTGAATTGGCCTCTTTCTTTCTGTAAAAGCCAATACATTTATTTCTAAGCCTAGAAAGTCATTATCTATGGGAGTTTCAAAAAACAACTTCAAATTCCTTAATACCCTTCTCCTTGAATCTCAGTCGGGGGAGGAGTGATGCTATGTGACTTCTGAGATTATGAGAAAAAGTCACATAACACCTGGTGTTCTTCAAGTGCTCATTCTCCAGACTCCCTTTCAGGATTAACCTTCCAGAACACTCTCTTTTGGAAACCAGCTTACATACTCTGAGAAGATAGAGCTGCTATGCTCTCATAATATGGAGAGGCCATGTGTAGACACTCCAACGGAAGCCTAGGTAAATCCAGCTTTCAAGCCATGCTAGCCTTGATGGCAGACATTGGAGTGATGCAGATTCAAGAGCATTCCCAGCCCCAGCTCTGTGAATCACCTCACTTATTTAAGTCTTTCCAGCTGAGGCTCCAGATATTGTAGATGAGAGACAAACCATCCCCACTATGTCCTGTCCAAATTTGTGAACACAGAATAATAAAATGATGGTTTTCTTAGGTCATTAAGTTTGGAGCAGTTTATTATTCAACAAGAGATAACTAGAATACTGGCCTTGTTAAATCATCTGGGTTTTGCTTTTTATTACAAACATTTTCCTTTATGGTAAAACAAAGGCTAACTAAACTGCTGCTATAATTTCATATATTCGAGATCTAAGAATGATGCAAATAAAGATTAAGCAGAGTTTTATATAAAAGAGAACAGGAGATAAGAGCTTAAAAAAGGGTGAATCCTCTTATAGCACCTCATACCTGCCATAATATCAATTACATCGTAATACTAAAGGCCATGTTATTAATCATACTGCTCAACCACCAAACAAAACTGTCTTAAGCCAAAGTTACCCAATACCCCTCTTCCAAACCAACTATTGCTTTTCATCTTATTTCTCCAACTTGGTGAATGGGATCATCATCCATCTAGTTAATTTTAACTCCAAACACTACCTCATTTCAGAGAGACCTATGTATTATATCTCAGAATTTCTCTCAAAATCATCCCTTCATTCTAGTCCTATCGTCACTACAGACCTGCTCCTTCAGCAAATATCTCTCACCTGGAGTATTCCAAGAAACACCCAAGTAGCCACTGTCTGTATCCCTAATCAGTCCATCTGTGATAGTACTGTCAATTTTCTTTCTAAAACATGAATCCGAACACTGTCACTAGTTAATGTGTGTGAGAATGGGACAATAAATGATTCATCTCAAAGAGTCATATCTGACATTTTGTTCTTATTTTTTATTTTACATATACTTATTTCTAAAACATAAAAAAAAGACTTAAAATTATTTCACAGATCCCCATTCACTCTAGCTGAACTTGAACACTCACGGAACCAGAAGATTAGATGTGCAAGATCTAGTTGGAAAAATGTTTCATTATATGTTAAATACTAGCACCTTTGGTTATCACTTGGCATCAAGGCAATCATAAAGATAAATGGAAACACAGTATTCGGCTGTAAGTTACAAATAGATTGGGAAGCAATGCTCTTTAGCGAAAAACTTAAAAAAAAATTCTAACACATCACAGGCTGTTAATTTTGTCACATATAAAATTATGCACATGACACTGCTCAACAACACAATTCACATTCTTTTCAAGTGCAGATGGACCATTTGCTAACATAGACCATATTCTGAGACACAAAATAAATCTCAATATTTTAAAGAATTGAAATGTACAAGGAATGTCCTGTGTACAAAGTGAAATTAAATCATAAGTCAACAGTATATTGTATCTGAAAAATCCCCCAAATATTGAGAAATTAAACAACATACTTTTAAAGAACCCATGAGTCAAAGAAGAAATCACAAGAAAAATTAGAAAATACATTGAAATGAGTACAAATTAAGATGCATCACATAAATAGGTATGGAACTCATCTTAAGCTGTGATTTCAAAAGAAACCTTTCATATTAAGTGTTTATATTAGAGGAGAAAAAAGGTCTCAAATCAATGATTTAGGCTCCTATCTTAAGAAGCTAAAAAAAGAAAAGAAAATTAAGAATAAGCTAGGTAGAACGAAGGGAAAAAAGGCAGGATAAGCGATCAAATAGAAAACAGAAAAATAATAGTGAAAAATAATGAAAACAAAAAATATTTTTAAGATCATTAAAATGGATAAACTGCTAGCCAGACTAATAAGGAAAGAAAGAGAGAGAAGATTCAAATTACCAATGTCAGGAATGAAAGATAGAACTTCACTAAAAGGCAGATCCCTAGAAACGTTAGAAGGATAATAAGGGAATATTATGAATAACCTTATGCCAACTATATAAATAACTATTCAATGACCTACACAAAATAGACAAATTCCTTAAAAGAAACAAACTACCAAAGCTCAAAGCTCATTAAAAAGAAATAGATACCGTATATCAATTAAAGATATTGAATATGTAGTAAAAAAAAACCTTCCCACAAAGAAAACTTGAGTCCTAGATGACTTTACTAGTGAATTCTAACACAATGCCAAGGAAGAAATAATACTAATTCTACAAAACTCTTCCAGAAAAAATATAATAAAATTTTATGAGGCCAGGAATACCTTTCTATCAAAACCAAACAAAGATATTACAAGAAAACTTCAAATCAAAATGTCATGAGTATAACAGCAAAAAAAAGAAAACAAAAAACAAAAAAAAACTCTTTAACAAAATATTAACAAATTGAATCCAGAAATATATGACAGGACA